GGATTTTTCAAACTGAACCCTACTGGATTCTGTTTTGAAAAAGCACCCCAGGAGTTCATATTAATGATGTGATATTATTTCAATAGACAGCACACTGATGTATCCATTTTTTCTTATTTTATCTTTCTAAGTTGTTACACTTATTATAAACTGTAAGATTAAAGCTATATAAGAACATGTGCTTCTAAGAGCAAGCAAGACACATGCCAGAAAAAAAAGGAGAATCAAGTGCTGTCACCTCTTGAACAAAAATTATATCTGTTTACCTGGATCCGGTCAAAGATAAAATAGAAAGAAATGCCATTGTTTTCTCCACCACCTCCATGCCCTCAGGGTCCGGATAATTATCATTTGTACTACTAATGTAAATTTTGTTAGCGTTTCAGACCACCATGTTAAATGGATCAGTGTTACCAGAAGTAAACTCTTGCACCAAAATTTTTTTGATATAAAGGTTCTTTCACATCCATAAGCCCTTCAGAGATGGGATTCAACCCAGTTTCTCCTATATTATTTAAGTTTGTCAATATCAGAAAAGTTACATGATATAAGACTCAAAAGAAAAAAAAACAACTAAAGTTCCAGAATTGTATTCACGTTTTTAAGGAAGTCTCCAAAAGGGAGGGGAGGGGCTTAACAAAAAGGAACTAAGGAGTTACACTACACAGTTTATACACATTATAAATAAAATAAGTAGTAAACTGTTTGACATTTAATTCACACCACTGTACAGAGTACTTCAAAAGGGAAAAAAACGCAGATATCAAGGTTTTCTTGGATCTAGATCATACTTAATTCATAGCCCTGAACAAAATACCCTGGAAGACTAGGTGTGTTGGTAAATGATATTGCTTGAAAGTTCATTTCAAATAGTAACATGCGGCTGACTGCAGTGTCTGCTCAATGGTCCATCTCCCCTCTGTGGCTTTTGTGCCACGAGAGCCTGTCCACCATGGGCTGCCCACCAGACCCTCCCCTGCAGAGCCTTCCTTGCAGCTACGAGAGCGGTGTGACAGGTTCAGACCAGTGTGACCTAAGGGGAAGGATTTTCTTCTCTAATAGTGGGAGGTCCTGCCACTCTTCCTGCCTTGGCTGCTGTCCTGTGGGAGATGATGATTCAGCAGTGGGAGGCCCCACGCCACCCAAGGGGAAGCCAAGAGACCAGAGCAGACCTGCAGGCCTAACACCACTGTCCCAGTGTGAACCAATGATGGAACTCCCTGCTTCTAGATGTATTGATATGTGAGATTAGCTGTGTCCTCCTTGGTTCTGCCAGTTTTACTTAGGCAGTATTTATTCACCTGAAAGTTCCCAAACTCATGCGCAATGCATCCTAGCTCATAAGAGTTTCAGCATCTGGCCAATATTTCAGTGTGAATGAGGGAAAAAAAAAATCAGTGATTTTTAAAACATATTTTACAATAATTATCAAATTCAATGACAGTGCAGGGCCATTTTCCAAAATGGCAGCTGCATGTCAAGTGGGAATCTGATTCCTGGCTAGTGGCACCTGTTTGCCTCAGTCACCTCCATCCATTTACAATTTCGCCTCGTTACAGCAGACACAGCAAGGAGTACTTCCTCCTGACAAAGTCCTTTTCCTGTTGGTGGAGACACTGGAAGCTCTTTAATGGAGTTTATTATTATTATGGAAGGATATAAAAGTAATCTCACCCATTTTAATTCTAACAGAGATTGAAGCAAGACCGGTTAACCTCTACCTTTCCGTCCGTCTATGGTTGGGAGACTCAAGACATAATCCTTTGAAAGACAGATTCTAAAATAGCAAGAAAACCCCAATATTACTAGATAGAGTTTAATATTCTCTAATAATATAGACTTGGATCGTTTCCCTGAAAGACGCTTTTATATAATGCCTGAGACATTTTATTAGTTACTAAAGAGTTCTCTGTTTAACCTCTGGAAGGTATCATTTTTTTGGTATATGTTAGGCTCACTCTTGGATCAAGAGTTTTAGCTTGGACTTTTAAATTAAAATCCACTGAAACACAATTTTGCCAAAGTTTCTAAAATTCACGACTTACAATATATTGACAGTCTCCTATCTCACCAGGTAGCTGACATTTTGTAAAACCCCCTCCTCTGAGCTAGATTCATGCCTTCAACTTGTTTGGGCTATTCAGCAACCAGACATCTGTTCAGAAATCCCTCTAGAAAGTTTCCTACATTATTTATGTCACTGCTAAAGCTATTTCCCCTCCCTTAAAAAACAGCTGCTTTATATACAAAAGAAAAATCATTATTTAGCCAGAATGTTGATAAATGATTCTAGTTTCTTTGCGCTGACCCATCATTGCCTTTTATACACTAATTGGCTTCCTAAGCCTCTTCTGCTCTCAAAGATGGCCAAGTAGCCATTTAGTAGTAAAATTTAAATGCTATTCTTCTATTCTCTCAATTAAAAGTAAATGTTTAATGATTTTATGTAAATGGTTTTAATCTCACCCCCAATAGCTTATAACATGATTTTTGAAAGCTCTGAACGTTTTGTCTGCTTTTCTCCTGCAAGCTTAATATAGTTCCCCCAAATTTCCACATTCCACATCATCAAACCTTTCATCTTGTCTCAAAAGAATAAAGAAAAAAAATTTAAATGCCAATTAAAAGCCAAAATCAACTATTTTCAGCCTCAATTTTCAAATGTCAGTTGGTTTTTACCCAGTTCTAGTTAATTTATATAGTGTAATTCTAAACTCCACTGTTTTGACACTTCCTGCTGAAGAAAATCAAAAGAAACTTTTCACCCTCTATGTTGCTTTTGGAACCAAGCCCCTCCTATCTGTGGTCACCGTGAGGCAGCGCCCAGGCTGGTCCTTAATATGGGGGGATTTGCCTTCACTACTGTGCTTAGCATCCTATCTCCCCGTATGACCTGCTGTTTCTCTGCAGTTGAATGTTCTGGAGGATGGCCAGCTATGAACAGGGTACCAACAGGAGAGAGGTGACTTTCTACATTCAACAAACCATAAAGGGAATTCTGATTAGGAGAAGGGAAAGAAATCCATAAAAAGACCAACTCACAGTTGAGTCTTTGCATTTTTGAAAACTCGAGATCATTTTCTGCTGAATCACTGAATCAGCTAATATTTCTGAAGCCTTAGAATTTCTGATTCCTACGGAGTTTAGTTTTTCTAAAACAAAAATGGGAAGTGTTTTGTTTTGTTTTAGTATAAAGAGGTTCTAACTAGACTTCAATTTAAAAGAAAAAAGAGAAAGACAGTGAGTGGGGTATAACCACCGCCTGGTGGATATGCCTAGAATTCTTGGTGAAAATACAGAACTTGCCAAAAATCAGGGGTGGGGGGGAAGAGTCTGCCTTTCTATTTAGAATACGGTTGCTAAACTAAGCCAGAGAGAACAGTAGGAGGAAGACACAGGTTTCTGCCACGCTGTATCTGCAGAGCAGAGACTATACTATACAGATGCTGCTAGTTATTTTTGTTTCATGACGAGTTGTTTGTAAACAGATAACCACCAACTACCACCACCACCGTCCCGCACATCCCCAAAAATATGACCAGGCCTCAAACGTGCCTTTAGTTCTGCTTCTCCTTCGTCCCCACATCCTCAATTACTTTAGTTTTCTAGCTGTACTCGTTCCTGCTATGAAACCTGACAAATAGCAAAAATCTGGAAACAGAAAGAGAAAGAGGAGGAAAAACTAAGGAGAGGTAAGAGAGAGAGGGAGAAGGGAGGGGGAAGAGGAAAAGAAAGAGAGAGAGAGAGAGACGTCTGTTGCCACCCTCCTGGCTAACTGAAATGCTTGTTCCCGAGATTACAGTAATTACAGCCCCAGCGTGAGTTCCATACAAGCGCTAAATGAAACAGCACATCAATTAAAAAATAAACACTCCATTCTAGGAGAAAGACAACCCCCTGGGACGTCCTAACAAGCGTAAATGAACCTGCCAGGCCGCCCGCCCCTCGGGCCCCTCCCCGTCTAAGGTGGCTGCGAGCTGGCGGGGGCCGCGCTCACTGGCCGCGTACCCAGACGCTCGGCCCCGGGCGCACCGCGGAGACGTGTCCGCGCGTCCGCGCCAGGTCCCGGCGCCGCCTCCCACGGCGGAGGAGGAGGCTCGGGCAAAAACATGTCAACTTTGGAGAGATGTATATATGTTCCAAAAGCACGAGGTGAAGAGGGAGAATCCAGCCGCAGGATTTCCAGGCTGTCCTATTTACAAGTTTTTCTTTCTCCCTTTCTCTTTCTTTCTCCTTCTTCACTGTGTCCGGATGCTTTATAGATATTTTATCTCACCTAATTAGCAGAACCCCCTTTGAGGTCTGTACTGTGACCCCATTCTCCAGGTAAGGAAACTGAGGCTCCTCCACGTCCCTCAGCGGAGGCGGGAGGAGACCCCCACCCCGGGCCCGCGCCCCTCGCGAGCCCGCGGCTGGGCTCCCGGGCACCTCCTCCGGGGCTGCCCCCGGTCCAGCCCCAACAGGCAGAATGAACTGCAGTCGTTCCACTCCTCCGGCATTGCCAAGCCTCCAAGACCATCGTTCTGAGAACCCCAAGAAGGGCACACCTTCCCGGGTCTCCGCAACGTCCCCGCGCCCTCGCCGGCTCGCGGAGGGGCGGGCGGTCCCCTCGCCAGCAGGTCGCCGACGTTTGGGAGCGTAGGAAACAGGGGCTTGACTAGTTCGAAACGGGCCTCCGAAAGCACGCACTGCATGTCCCCGGTCCCCAAGCGCAGGCTCGGGGAAATGGAACCCCGACCTCAGCCCCACTGAGCGCCGTGGGGACGGTCGTGGCAGAGCCTCTGTCTCTGCGGTCAATCCCAAGGTTATCCAAACTCCGGCCGCAGACAGCGCTCACGGCCGCGCGGACAGCCGGGCCCGCCCCAGGAAGGCTGGGCCTGGGGAGCGCGCAGACTCCGCCCCCCGCCCGGGATTGGAGCGCCGGCCGCGGGCGGAGACCGAGTCCGCGCCGTATAAATATTCATGAGCCGGCCGGGGCGCAGCAGGGCCGGAGCGGGAAGTTGGCGAAGGCCGCTGCTCCCGCCGAGGAGGAGGCGGCGGCGGGGCGCTGGCGTGCCGCTCAGGTGTCCGCTCCGCCTTCCGGCCTGAATTTAGCTCCGTGAGTCCAGCGAGAAGGGGACCGCCGACACCTCGCCCTACTGCCGGCCGGAGCGCGACGCGGACTTCCACCGGAGGCGGGGCCCGTCATCCCGGCGGCGGACCGACGGACCGACGCCGGGGACAGAGGGCGGTGGCCTCGGCGGAGGCGGGCCCCGAACCCCGGCGGCAGACGCGCGGCCTTAGGGGCGAGCATGAGCCCCGGGACGCCGAAAGGGGGCCGCAGGGGCTGAACCGGGCGCGGAGCGGCCTGGCCCAGCCATCTTGACTGCGTACAGCGGCCCGCCCGAGAGGAAACTTGCTGCGCCGCCGCCCTAGGTGCCCGGCAAAGTCACCGGCGCGCGCGGAGAAAGCGAGCGACAGAGGGACGATGAGCCGGGGGCCGGCCACTCTGCCCTGCGAGGGCTGAGCCCGGCCGGAGTGAGCGGGGCAGACCCAGGGACTGGGGCGCCCTCCGGCAGCCACCCTCGTCTCCCGCGGCGCCGTGAGGACGCGTCCCGCGAAGGGACCAGGCTATCGGCAGACCCCCCCAACCCCGATCCCGGGAGAGGCGGGAGAGAGCCCGGCAGGGCGCCCTCTCTCCCCTCCTCCGGCGCTCTTGCAGGATCTCCCAGCGCCCCTCCGCGCGCCGCCCGGAGGGCGAAGGCGCGTGGCCGAGGCGCGCAGCATGGAGTGGGGTTACCTGTTGGAAGTGACCTCGTTGCTGGCAGCCCTGGCGCTACTGCAGCGCTCCAGCGGCGCTGCGGCCGCCTCGGCCAAGGAGCTGGCGTGCCAGGAGATCACCGTGCCGCTATGCAAGGGCATCGGCTACAACTACACCTATATGCCCAACCAGTTCAACCACGACACGCAGGACGAGGCGGGCCTGGAGGTGCACCAATTTTGGCCGCTGGTGGAGATCCAGTGCTCGCCCGACCTCAAGTTCTTCCTGTGCAGCATGTACACGCCCATCTGCCTGGAGGACTACAAGAAGCCCCTGCCTCCCTGCCGCTCGGTATGCGAGCGCGCCAAGGCCGGCTGCGCGCCCCTCATGCGCCAGTACGGCTTCGCCTGGCCCGACCGCATGCGCTGCGACAGGCTGCCCGAGCAGGGCAACCCTGACACGCTGTGCATGGACTACAACCGCACCGACCTCACCACGGCCGCGCCCAGTCCACCGCGGCGCCCGCCGCCGCCGCCGCCGCCCGGCGAGCAGCCGCCCTCCGGCAGCGGCCACGGCCGCCCGCCCGGAGCCCGGCCCCCGTCCCGCGGCAGGGGCGGCGGCGGGGACGCGGCTGC